GCGGGAGGATACCACAAGACCCACAATGTGGCCTGGGGCAGCTGGACACCACTTCCCCCCACCTACCCGTCTGCAGTCATCCAGGCACTCCGGTATCCACGTGGACGGTGCCCTACTCTCCCAAGGTCATCTCCTTCAGTCCTCTTCACCTCCCGCCCCCTGGCCACACCAGCCTGGAACTCGCCATGCCATTTCCCAAACAGTACGCCCAGCCAGGCGGCACACGACACACAGGCTCCCGCACTTGTCCCAGGGTCCAGGCCTGCCCCGGGCCCCACCCCTGTGCAGCCCCCAGGACCTCAGGCCTCCTGACTCATCCACCTGTGGCCTCGATTCCTGCTAAGTCGAAAGGGCAGCAAACTCTGAGGGTCTCACGCCAGTTCCGACACTCAGTGTGCTAGAGACAACCCCCCGCCAGGCACCTGAGCCAGGCCAGCGGCCTGTGCCGTCCCTCCCGTGACCAGCCCCACTCGAGTCAGGCCCTGGGCATCTCTTTGCCCAGAAAGATTTCTCCCAGCAGGCACGGCTCTGGGTGCTGGGACTCACCCTTGGAATCAACGTCCTCAACAAAAGCCACACAAAGCCAACACTGGGCGTCACAGTGTCGTGGTGGCGGGTGACATGTCACCAAGCATCCCAGACCTCGCAGCACATGGACTTGAACCTGGCATGCTCCCCCTCAGCCTAAGCACTGTGGGCCTGGCACCCCCCTTTGGGTATCCGGCGCCTGCCACGGGCCTGGTGCACGTCAGGCCTGGTGCACGTCCAAGGCCTGGCACCCCCTTTGGGTATCCAGCGCCTGCCACAGGCCTGGTGCACGTCAGGCTGGACGTATGAAGAGTCTATTGAAGAATGGCTATTTTTGTAGCCTTTTTTTTTTTTAAACACAGTATACTTTTAAAGTCAGAAAATAGAAACTGCAGCTAAAATGGTATTGGTGACTTGGCTGGATGACTCTTCCATAAATCTGAAATACCAGCTTTTCTTTAGAACATTAGCTCAGCCGTCTGAGGGGCGGTCACTTCTGTGTGGGTAAGGCCACCTGGAACTCGCTTCGGGGTCCGCAGGACTGGCAAGGACTCTCAGCCAAAACGAGAACGTATTTACCCGGACACTAAATGCAAGGGCTCTTAGCCCAAGCGATAAAACATTTACCTGGGTACTAAATGCAAAAACAGAGACAATTCTGTTTTTACAATTTTGCTGGACAGGACATTTCTTTCTAAGACAGTTTATGTGACGAAATGAAGGACACAGCCTAGCACATTTCACAGATGTCACAGGTGGCTGAAAAAGCAGTCAGGCAGGAGGGCACCAAGCTGCCCTGCATGAACCGCACGGGCAAGGCATCTCCGTGCGAGAGGCTAAGAGGTGCATTGACCACGGCCTGCTCCCATGGCCTCATCTGGGCCGAGGGGGCCACACCTGACCGTGTAGCCAAGGAACTTTTTTTTTTGAGTTAGAGTCTCACTCTGTCGCCCAGACCGGAGTGCAGTGGCCGCTCCCCGCCACCGCAGCCTCGACCTGCTGGGCTCCGGAGATCCTTCCGCCTCAGCCTTCCAAGTGGCTGGAACTACAGGCGTGTGCTACCATGCCCGGCTGATTTTTTGATTTATTGTAGAGATGAGGTCTCGCCAAGCTGCCCTGGCGGGTCTCGAACCCGCAGGTTCGGGCAATCCACTCACCTTGGCCTCCCCAAGCGCGGGATGACAGGCAGAGCCACCGAGCCTGGCTTAACCAAGGATCTTGAGCAACTTTCTTCCACTGTAGCTTCCCCTCCCAAGAGGACAAAGATTTCAAAATGCACATGATCAACTAGTCATGCAGTGTGAACCTCAGGGAAGACAGAATCAGCATGTTCTATCCGTAGAAAACAATATGACTAAATCACTGTCCAACAAGGAAGCAGTCAATCTCCAAAACACACAGGAAGTAAAAGATGCTACAGGGACAAGTCAGACAGCGAATTAATATGTATTACTATTTGTTTCTAAATTTGTATGTTTCTAAATTTTGTGGTATTCACCAGCCTTAAAAAAAATTATAACAACGAAATTGTTTTCCTCATTCCAAAAAATACACTCTATTTTATGCCTAATTTTGCATATTTTAAAAGAACGAGGGTCTCCCAATTGTGGGAAAGGGTCTGCTTTGGACCACACCAATCCTGAGGCCTCCCTTTGGGAGAAAGGATATGTAATTTGGGGGTAATTAGCGTTGTTTCCCTTTTCTAACGGATCGTTTTTCACAGGAGTTGGGACTAACTTCTTAAAATAGCAAACTGTGCACTCCCAAAAGGCCTTGGGACGGAGGGGACACCTCCTTGCTCAGTGCCTCTGTCCTGCATTGTCCCTGGTGTCCTAACGAGAATGCCCTGCCCAGCGTTCTCACCTACAGAAGCCACAGCACACCTGCAGAGGTCCTGGAAGACTTCAGAGGTCACGGCACATTTGCAGAGGTCACAGCACACCTGCAGAGGTCACGGCCCACCTGCAGTGTGCCACCGGGAAGGGTCTGCATGGAGGACCCGACTTTCAGGCGCATGTCCCGGCAGGTTGCAAGCAACCGTGGATGCTGCAAGGCCGGCAGGTGAGGCTACGTTGTCTGCGCCAACGTGGTACAGATGCCTCTGTCTAAGGCCGTGTGTGACCCCTGTGACTCGAGAGGCAGGGGTGACGCTGAGCTCACTTGGCAGGTAGGGAAGGTGTGCTGGGCCCCGTGCAGCCCCTGGGCTCCATGGCAGGTCCTGGAAGAATCCCTGTCACTGACATCAAGGACTGGCCGCTGATCCACCCCCTTCTACTGCCCAGGCTTGATCCCTTTCCTGAACAGCGGTGACACAACTGCCCTTCCCTCTGGGGACAGCATGTACAGGGCGTATTCCTGGAATTCCAAGACAGTCGCAGATGGGGGCAGTGGGGCCTCGGGAAGTGACCGCTTGGCCCCTGGCCCTACAACAGGCACGGGAAGGTGGCCTCTGAAGTTGGGCCCCTGTGCCTGGCTGTACCCTTCCTCTCCAACCCCCTCCTTAGGCTGGGGCTGAGCTGGGGCACTGCCCCCCCGGGCCAGTCCTGTGGCTCTGGTGAGGGCACAGGAGGAGGCTGGGCATGGGCCGCACTGCGGAGAGCACCCTGGACACGGTCATCTGAGAGGTCGGTGCCACTAGGCACTCATGAGGTCTCTGCAGTACAGAGTGAGCCAGGACCGGTCCGGGGAGAGCGACTTAGGGGAACCTGGTGGAATGCAGATGTCCAGACCCTCCGCAGCCCCAGGCCTGGCAGCTCCAACCCTAGCTGACTCAGTGGCACAGCCATTCGAGGATGTCTGGTGACCCACGAGCCCCAGTGCTGGGGGCTGGGTTGGGACATACCAGGAAGGCAAAGGACATGTTGTCCCCACAGGGCAGGCGGGGACAGGCCTTGGCCTTCTGCAGGGGTGGGAGGATAGCGGGCGTGGAGCCCAGGCCCACGTGGAGGCAGCCTGTTTCCAGGAAGAGAAGACCCTGAAAAGGCCCTCTGCTCCCAGGAGCCTGCAGGAGCCGGAGGCCCTGCCACATGGACCCCACCACTTTGAGCTGATCTCATGTGCCAGGATGTTGTGCTCAGGCCCTGCCAATGGGGAATGACTGCTCAGAAGACAGCAGGAGACTAAGCCTCAGGGGAAACAAGGTGGGGGAGAGTCTCCCACCCATGACACTGCTGGGACCTCATCCTGAATATCACCCTAGGAGGCACCACATCGCAACCTGGGCCACTTTCACTTTTTTAAAGAGTATTGTGTTTAAGAGAATTTTTTTTCTGGCCTGGGGTCTTGCTATGCTGCCCAAGTTGATCTGAAACTCCTGGACTCAAGCAGTCCTCCCACCTTGGTCTCCCCAGTAGCTGGGATTACAGGTACATGCCACCTCACCCAGCCAAGATCTCTGTTTTTAGATTAGAAAACATAGTTTACTTAAAAGTAAATGAGAGAGAGAGAGAAAATTCACCTCCTTCAGGTAGGGGAGGGGACCAAAGCCAGGAAGCATGGTGACAGCCATAACTCAAAGAGCGCATGGCCACACCAGAGTCTAGCAAGGCAAGGGCCAAGATCATTTTTAATACGGGGTATTGTGGTAAAGTCTGAAGAAAATCATTCAGACAGGTGGCTACCCAGAGGAGACACTTCCATTTCTAGACAAAGCTCACAAGGTCAGCAGGGTGTTCACCAACGTGCCTGGCCCTGAGGTTCCGTTGCTATTTCAGAATAAGTTTGCAAGGCCAGAATGAAGTGGTTCTCCTCTGTGGCCCCCAGTAAACATCTCTGTAGGGACACTGGGAGATGACAAATGCAGGCAAGCATTTTTCCTGCAGGCACTTGCCTCCCGTGCCACCTTGATCAGACCATCCCAACCAAGGGAAGGAGGCCGGTGCCACCCACAGATGGCTCCTTCCCTGCCCAGCTGCTCACTCGGCCCTCGCCAGCCAGCATCTCAGGACCCTCCAGGGTGTAGGCTTAATGTGAGCCACTGGGATGACAGTACACAGAGTCTGGGACTAGCTCCTTCTAACATGTGAGGTCAGAGGCCGAGGCCACACACCTGCACTCAACACACACATGCCACCCCCTGGAAAGTCCCTCTAGCATCGGTCCTATCAGCACTCAGCTCCCGGCAAGAGAGAAGGAAATTGTGAGGCCATGGGAACCTGGTACGTGACCAGGAGGCAGTGTCGCACCCTAGTTGGATGGCCACAGATATCGTTGTGCCCCCTAAACTCACCACTCACAGTGGAACATGGTGGAATCTCATTTTCTGTGAACACAAGACCCCTCAGCGCCCAAGAAAGTGATCACTGTAGGGCCAGATGGGGCACAACGAATGCCAGGCCACAGTGTCAGCTTCCCTGTGAAAGGTCTTGGGCCAGGCCAGCAGGAGGGTGTCCTCCGACAAGTGGCCGTGGAAAGCTGAGTTGCCCAGGGTCCCGGCAGGCCTGGGAGGGATGAGGGGAGGATGTGGTACTCACAGGAACTTGCCGTTGGTCTTGGACCCGATCAGCACAATCTGCTCCGACTCCTCCCGGGAGATGTTCCCGTGGAACCAGGGCATCTTCTCGTGGGCCGTGGTGGCGATCAGCTTCTCCAGCTGTGGCTTCTGGCTGATGATGGCCTGCTCCAGTGCCTGGCCCTGCCGGGGACAGCGGGGTCAGCAGGGCCGGCCAGTCCCAGCATGGGAAAAGAGGGTGGAACCGCCTTCACTCATTTGTCATCGTTCACTCGTCATGCATTCATTTACCATCCACTCCTCACTCATCCATTCACTTGTCCTTCATTCATTCACCCACTCCATAAATAAAACCGGAAGGGTCTCTACATATGACTTGAGTATCTTCATGTGTATAAACGAGAAAATCTGTTTCAGAATAAAGTGATCGGCCTTTGCAAGGCTAGAAAAGACTGCGTAAACCATCTGGAATGACCCGTGAGGTCTAGAACATGGGCTTTCTTCTCAGATCCTTGGTCACTGCCATCCGCTAGACTGTCCCGTGCCACAACTGGATCACGTCATCGTGATCAGGTCCCTCGAGACTAGCAGGGAAGGCATGGGCACTGCTGTCCCTCCACAAGGCCCCACGAACCCTTGTGATATCTGGCCTGCAGGCATATGGCCACGGAGGGTGAAGGGACACGCCTCCACCAAGTGGAACACCACCACCAGATCCACGCTGGAAAGGGTGTAGAGCTCGGGGAATTCCCTACTCGTTCCCTAGGGGGAGAGAAATCCAAATTCTCTACATTGGCTAACCAAGAGCCAAGGAGTTATGTGCCTTCACGGCATGACCGGGAGCAAAAATACAAACACAACTGGCTCCAGAAGCAGCTGAAGAAAGAGGAAAGCCAGAGGAACTGTGAGCATGCAATGGACTCAGGGAGAGAAAGTGAGCATGTGATGGTCCCAGGCAAGGAGTGTGAATGTGTGATAGCCTGTGTTCACAGGGGAGGGAAAGACAAAAGCCAACGTAGGTGACACCTTTGCAGCATCTCAAACAAAGCCAGCAGAGGCCCAAAGGAAAGGCAGCAGGGCCCAGGCATTCCCAGCAGTGCCACCACATGGCTGATCGGCAATCATGGCATGCTGGTTGGAGTCCATCTGAAAAGCAAGCACCTTGGGTGTGCAGCCACCAGACGTCCGGGAAGGCAAATGTGTAGGGGGGAAACCAGAGGAGGGGCTGCCCAAGACCACGGGGGATGGGCTGAGCGCTCTGTCAGGTTCTTGCAGCGTGACAGAGTGCCTTTTGTCTATATTTGGGTGGGTCACAAGATGCTGTGCAAGTGTCGAAAACCATGGAGCTTTTCCATCTAAGGATGACATCATGACAGTAGGTTACACCTCAGCAGATCAGGGTTTCCTGACTTAAAGAGTGGAAGGATGGTCTCAGCCTCTGCCAATGATGGCCAGTGAAAGTGCTGAATGCACAGTACTCAGTGTCTGTCTACAGGCCCCGTGGGAGTGACAGAGTCACTGCTCAGATCCTCCGAGTTCCAGACTGTCCTAATCATCAGACCTCAAACTACATGGCAGAATATATGGGGCATGCATCCAGGCAGTGGAGGGAGACCTCAGGCTGAGAACATAGCGTTGATCAAACTGCTGATCCCCACCACCAAGGGTGCGAGGATGCCAACTGTCACACCCTTGGCAACCCTCTGGACAGCACTTCATCAGTACACCCAAATTACACACCTATCCCCTGGTGGTGGTAATGCTGAGCCTTTAGGGGTTACCCTGCAGACACTGCACACAAGGTCCGCACAGGATGGAACCCGGCAAGGCTACGGGCAGCACTATCAGTAACAGTCAAGGTGTCCATCAACAGATCCACCCACAAACTACGGTGCCCACAGGCCAAACCACACCACCAAGGAGCAGCGTGGAGAGCAGCGTGTGGCTGGCACAGAAAGTTCAGCCAGAGACATTCGGACTCTGCAAAATCGAGCACCGATCGGTATGTGTCGCGTGATCCATCAGCATAAAACCAACCAATGCGTGTGCACGTGCACGCCTCTCTGGATGGGCCAGCCGGGCGCTGGGCCGTGGCTGCCTGCCTGAGGGACACGCATGGCTGGGTGAGGCCCCCACTGTGGCTGTGTGCGAGGGATAGTGTCTTCCTGGAGCAAGGTAGGATGGCCCAAAGCCGAGCTGTTTCTTGAGGCATGAGCCCATTCCTCGTATCCAACCCCAGAGGCCGGGGGGCTGAGGGCCCAGGGTGGGCAGGATGGCCGCCTACCTGCAGGTTCCACGTCTGCTTCACATATTCCCTGATGAGGTTCTCCTTCAGGTCCTCAAAGGGCCCGGTCTTGGGCTGCACGCCAGGGGGCCGGTGGAAGGGCTTCTTGAGGAGGCAGATGAGGCCGTCGCACTCCTGGGAGTGGTAGTGGCAGAGGTCGGCAGGGCTGGCGTGGGTCCGGCCCCCTGCGATGGCGTAGGTGCCGTTGAGCTCACGCTCGATGGTGTAGTGGTGCGCCTTGCGGCCATGAGCCACCGACAGCGCGAAGCCGCCCAGGTAGTTCCGGCTCTGGCGCAGCAGGTAGAGCCCATCGCTCATGCCGCCCTGGACCAGGTAGTCCTCTGCCTCCTCGCGAGTGATGTTGCCGAAGAAGAAGGGCAGCTGGTTGGCGCCATCGGCCATGCTGCCGGCCATGCTTCAGGGTGGGGTCCCTGCGTGGGTCACCTGGGCGAGAGACAGAGCCGTGGCGGGGTCACCTGGGCGAGAGAGACAGAGCTGCGGTGAGGTCACCTGGGCGAGAGAGAGCCACGGTGAGGTCACCTGGGAGAGAGAGAGCTGGTGAGTTCACCTGAATGAGAGAGAGCCACGGTGTGGTCACCTGGGAGAGAGAGACAGAGCTGCAGTGGGGTCACCTGGACGAGAGAGACAGAGTCATGATGAGGTCACCTGGGAGAGAGAGAGCCATGGCGACGTCATCTTGGAGAGACAGCTGCAGTGAGGTTACCTGGCACAGAGAGAGCCGTGGTGAGGTCACCTGGGAGAGAGAATCAGTCATAGTGAGGTCACCTGGGAGAGAGAGACACAGTCATGGTGAGTGAGGTCTCCTGGATGAGAGAGACAGAGCTGTGGTGAGATCACCTGGGCAAGAGAGGGCCGCGATGAGGTCACCTGGGAGACAGCAAGCTGGTGAGGTCACCTGGATGAGAGATAGAGCCGTGATGAGGTCACCTGGGCAAGAAAGACAGAACAGTGGTGAGGTCACCTGGGAGAGAGAGAACCGTGATGAGGTCACCTGGACAAGAGAGACAGAGCCGCGGTGAGGTCACCTGGGTGAGAGAGAGAGCGTTGTGATGAGGTCACCTGGATGAGAGACAGAGCCATGATGAGGTCACCTGGGCAAGATAGACCATGGTGAGGTCACCTGGGAGAGAGAGAACCACAATGAGGTCACCTGGGAGAGAGAGAGCCACAGGGAGGTCATCAGGGAGAGAGACATCCTCCCATTTTCCCGCTGCCCACATTGAATCACCTGTCCATGGTGATCAGTTTCCAGACATGCCCCTTGGCACGGAGCCTAGGAACAGAGCATTTACCCCCAGGGACCACACCCTCCTTCTTGCTCTGCCGGTGGAGGTGAAGTGTTCCAGGAAGACACCGGGGGGCTGTGATGGAGGTCCCCTGCAGGACAGGCCCAGGTACCCCGTGGGTCTCGGTGCCCAGACGGAGAGCCAGAGGCAGCCCAGCCGCTCCTGCAGTGCAGACAACCCAAAGGAATCCCTCTCCTTGCCACAGTCACATCCCCGGGAGGACGCCCCTAGACCTCTCCCTCACCTGCAGAGGTGGCCACATGGACAGCCGCCAACTGTGGCTGACCGTGGCCACCACAGGCCCTGCCCCTTCCACCAGGGCGGAGGCACCCCCAAGGCCCGAGGCGTGATGAGTGACATCCTCCCAGCATGCCCTGGCCCGGCCCTTCCCCAGACCACTTCCTGGGGGACCCAGACCCCTGCAGCCAGCACCAGAGACAAGGCAGGCCCACGCCCGCGAGGACAGCGGCACAAGACGGCGGGCAGCAGATGCAACTAGGAGGGAGAGGAGGTGGCCATGCGTGCTCCCCAGGGAGAGCGTGTTCTCCGGCGAGGACATATGTGCCGGCCAAGAAGTGTCCGAGACGCGCGTGTCTCACCCAAGAGGAGCTGGTCATCACGGGCAATCATCCAGATGGTTGTATCCGCCGGTGTCAGGGGGAGGCACCTGCCTGCATGCTGTCTTCCACACACCAGACACAAACCACCCATCCCACACACTAAACACACACTACACATACTGCAAGCTACACACATGCCATACACTACACACACACTATACACACTATATGTTACACACATTACACACACACATGCACACCACACACACACTACACACACACTACACACTCTATACCTGAGAGAGGCTGGTCATCATGGACAATTATCCAGATGGTTCCATTCTCTCACATCGGGGGCAGCACCTGCCCTCGTGCTGTCCACACACACACCACACACACCGCCAAAACCACACACACAACACACTATACATTCTACATATGCCATAAACACACAACACACACTGCACACGCACACTATACACACCACAAGCCTCACATACTATACATATACTACACATACTACATGCTACACACATTGCACACACTACACAAGCACTACACACGTTACATGCCAACGTGGTCTCCTGGCCCAGGCTTTATCTGGGTGAGCCCCACGGGGAGGACAGGCCAGCCACAAAGCCCCAGAGCTCCTTGGACCCTGCTCCAGCAGCAACCCCAAGAGCCTTTCCTGCTCGGAAGGACCACATGCCAAAGGCCTGAGGGAAGGTCGCAGCAGAAAGCTGACAGTGGTGCGGAAGTCTCTCGCTGACGGGCACTACCCAACGTGTGAACCCATCCCCCACTTTACAGCAAACATCCGAGGCCCTGAGCTGTTGCAGAGACCAAACCCCAATGTGAGCAGAGAGAACACTGAACAGGAGAGAGATGCCTGCAAGGTCTTGCTGGATATACACACAGAATCACTCTCTTCTTCTTTCAGCCAGTTAGAAAGAAATTGTGGGTGACACACGACGGAAAAATATGGCGGAAGTCGATGACCGACTGCAGAGATTCCAGGACCTGAGACACATGCCCCATGCCACAGCACGCAGTCAGGATCCCAGGACTCCTGTGACGCCTCCAACTCTGTGAGGCCTGCAGCCCTTGAACCCCTCACTCATTGGTGACACCCCCAACTCTGTGAGGCCAGCAGGCCCTGAATGCCTCACTAGTCCCAACCCTGTGAGGTCAGCAGCCTCTGAACCTATCATTCTGTTATGACACCCCAAACTCTGAGGCCAGAAGCTCCTGAAGCCCTCACTCGCCTGTGATGCCCCCACACTCAGAAGAAGAGCAGGGAGAACCCAGTCGGCTCCACTCCACCGAAGGCAAGATGGGAGGACGCATCTCGGGGTGTCGGAGCTGAGGGAGTCAGGTGGTCGCGCTCACGTCGTGGGTTGGGAGACCCACCAACAGGTGCAGAGAGAACAGCAGCCAATCACACCTGCACCCACACCTGTGGAGGCAGCAGCTCTGGGACAAGGGTGCTCATCTTACAGACCACAGACAGACTGGGTGAGCACAGACAGGCTGGGTGCACAGCTCTCCTGCCAGCCAGACCCACAGTGACAGTGATGGTGAGAAAGGTGACAAGACAGCTACTCTGCGAACACTGGGCCTACAGGGTGCCAGCCAACATGCACCCCATCTCTGAAGGTCACTACTCTCTTTATCCTCAGTTCACACACCTGGAAACAGAGGCTCAGGAAGGTCAACTAACTTGCCGATGACACACAGTTAGCAGGTGATGGGGCCAACCTTCGGAGCCAGCCTCTTCCCTTAACTGCAGCCATCTCAGCAGGTGGCAAAGGGCACCTCACGGTCAACACAGCCAAATACAAGCCCAGGGCTTTCCTGCCTAACTGGAGCACCCTCCTTGATCCCTGGAGTTTAGTTCTCAGTGTGCGTCCCCAGACCAGCAACGGCAGGATGACCGTGAAATGAGGAAGAAATGCGTGTTCCCAGGGCTCCCTCCTGACCCGTTTTGATCAGAAACTCTGGGATGCGGCCCTGTGATCTGTGCCTTGAGAACTTTGGCCCAAGACTTCCACCCCTTGAGTGCCCTTAGGTCTCCCCCTTCTCCATAGTCCTTAAAGTCATGCCACGGCCAGTCCCACCACCTCACCTCCTAGCCTCCCACATGCGCCCACGTGACCCCAGACCACGTAACATCCTTGTCCGCCACATCTCTCTGGGGTGGCTCCGGCTGCAGCAGCTCCACCCTGCTCCCTTCTGAGGTGTTCTCTCAGCTCCGTGGCCCACTTCTCAGCTACAAATCCCCACCATCCAGGCCACCCTCTGAGCTCAGGACAGACATGCCCCTGCCCCCACAGTCAAAGCTTCCCTCAGATCTGTTTCTCTCAGACGTTCTCTGAGCTGCATCCCCCGATACTCCCACCCAAGGCCCTTTCACGTGGCACATGCTTTTCTTCTGTACCCCTGACCGCTGCTTTGACTTAGTTTACCTTTGCTCGGTAGGATGCAAACATCTGAGGAGCAGTCATTTCCCACAAAAGAACAGAAATTGTATCTCTAACTCGATTTCTAGTAAGACTTGAAATTGTGAGTCCTCAGACTTTTAGTATTGTGTTGGTTGTTCCTAGTCTTTCGCCTTTTCATGTAAAGTTTAGAGTCACTCCGTTAATATCTATGACAAAGTTTGTTGGGATTTTGATTGGGATTGCTTTGAATCTACAAATCAAGTTGGAAAGAATTAATACCTCGACAATACTGAGTCTTCCAATCCATAAACATAGGCGGCTTTTCCATTTACTTACCTCTTCTTTGATTTTTGTCATCTGTGTTTTGTCGTTTTCAGCATACAGATCCTGTGCACGTTTTGTTAGACTTAAGCCTAAGTATTTTTTTTTATGAGTTTTTGGTGCTACTGTAAATGGTAATTTTTTTTTACTTCAAATTCCAAATGTTATTGCCGGTATATAGGAAAGCAACTGACTTTTGTATATTGACCTAGTATCCTGCAAACTTACCATACTCTTCTTGGTTGCATGAGTTGTTTTATAAATTATTTGGAGTTTTCTACATAAACAAATATGTTATCTGTGAATAAAGATGATTTACTCCTTCCTTTCTGAACTGCATGCTATTTATTTCATTTTCTTGCTAAACGCACTAGATAGGACACACAGTAGGATATAGAAAAGATGTGGTAAGAGAGGACAGTCTTGCTGTGTTCTCAGTCTCAGAGAGGAAGTGGGTTAAGTTTCTCACCATTAAGTATGAAGTTATCTGTAGGTTTCTCGTGGACATTCTTTATTAAATTGAGGAAGTGTCCTTCTATTCCTAGTTTGCTAAGGTTTTTTGTCATGAAAGGGTGTTCAATTTGCTCAAATGCCATTTCTGCAACTATTGATATGATCATATTATTTTTTCTTCTTTAGCATGTTTATGTGACAGATTACATTCATTTATTTTCAAAGGTTGAAACTGATTTGTACACTCAGAACAAATTCCACTTGGTCATGGTGTATAGTTCTTTTTATACATTGTTGGGTTTGATTTGCTAATATTTTGTTGAGGATTTCTTTAT